ATCTGAGTGAAATGGGAGGGCAAGCTATGTCAACATGTAGGGGGACGGGGGAGCAAATGCAAAAGTCCAGAGACAAGAAAAAGTAGAGTAAGTCTGAGAGACAGCAAATTCACTACTGTCATTAAAATGAAGAGAGGTAAATATTTGTAGAAAATGAGGTCTAGGAAAGCCAGGAGCTGAAGCACAAAGGGCCTTATAGGCCATGGTTAGGATACTGGATTTCATTCCAAGTAAGACAGGAAGGCAATGAAGGTTCCGGGCATGGGAGTGAAATAATGAGCCCCATCACAGTCTCGCTACAGTGTCCTTCATCATTTTCCACCACCCTCTTAATATCACTCACTATCATCGATGTTACTGACCCTCAATGTATATTATAACTTCTTACATCTGACTCAGTCACTAACTGGTTACGTGGACATGTCACTTTCTTCCCCTGGCCTCCTTTTCTTCATCTGTAGAATGGGAAACTTAGACAAGATCACCCTTAATTATCTTCCCGGCTTTACTGTTTTATAAGCCTAAGACTGTGCTGTCTAATACACTAGCTACTAGCTACATATGACTAAATTTAAATCAAGTAACATTAAAAATTTAGTTTCTCAGTCATGCTAGTATATACAAGTCTTTGTAGCCACATCTGGCTAGTGGCTTCTATATTAAACACTGTAGATATAGAACATTTCTACTGTCAATCATCACAGAAAGTTCTATTGGACAGTGCTGTACTAGCTGATTTCTGCATCTGCCTCACCTTACTCTTTCTCCATTCTCTATATTTTAACCTAGAGGTTTGTGTTTTTTTATATATATTTAACCTATATAATGTATTTAAACTCTACGTATTTTTATCTATGTGTAGAGAAATTTTTTTTTTTACTAAATGAATATTCCATCCCTTCCCCATTGATTTAAAATAATATCAGTACATCATATAATTAAACTAGTATACATTAAATTCTATGAAGACAAAGACAGGGTCTATTTTTATTTATCACAGCACTTAGCATAAGGTCTTTAATAACTATATGTTCAGTGAATGAATATTTCCATTCTTATGGAATTCTTATACTTGGATTTGTTTCTTAACATTATGTTTCTTCTGGCTCCATTCCACACTATCTACTGTTTTCATTATTATAGATATATACAGGTTTTATTTTAATGTAGATTTAAGTGCTCTCCCATTACTCTTTTTCAAAAAAAGTTCTATTTTTTACATATTAATTCCACTAATCTTAACTGAATGACCTAGAATAACATAGCTGTGGACACTGAGAATGTCCCTAAAATGGTACCTCATTATTCCCTGGAATACTATTCTTTAAAGCCCACAGAGTGCTTGGAAAAATCCCTGCCCTAGCTGACCCACACTTTAATATTCAAGACTCAACACATCTCACTCCTCAAAATCACTTTGAGCAAGAGACTCTGCCCTGTTCTGTGACTAAGACCACCTGACAACCCTCCTGTCTCGCCTTCTTTTCAAACCTAGGTCTGTGGAAAAGCTTTATTTATGCTAGTGGTTACATCTGAACATACACCTCAATTTCAATGAATCAACTTACTACAATGAAGGTTTTCATATGCCAGTGAGTGTATTTTTGCATCTTGAGGGCTTCTAACAGACACTAAACCCAGAGGAGGTGCCGAACTATTTCTTGAGTGAAGATAAAAATGCTGGCTGTGGAAAAAAAGATGACTAGGCTTTTGGGGACTTTTACTGGAAAGCAAGACATGAGGAACGAGTCACTGGATGAATGGAACCTTGTTAGGTTGGAGTATTTTGGAAGAAAAACAAAATGCTCGTATAACCTAAAAAATAAGATGGCATTTTAGGGAAGAGAGAAGAAATGTTTCCTTACCTTGGACATGGCTTTAAGGATTCCAGAATTTGACAACTCTTCTGTCCTACTCCTTCAGGCTCCTCTCTGGGAGAGGGATGGTATCCTGAGAAAGTAGAGCTGGAGAAGGAAAAAAAACCATAAAATGCCAGGCCTGCCCTGCAGCTCTCAGTATCATCAGCCTAGAAACCTTTCCTTCTCTTTCTCCTTCTTTCCCCAACCTCAGGAGTAAATTAGAGATATCACTGAGCAAGTCATTTATATCTAAATTTACAATTCTTTTGCCCACATGCTTTGGATCTTAAGAATACAACATATGGGCCGGGTGCCATGGCTCACGCCTGTAATTCCAGCACTTTGGGAGGCTGAGGCAGAGGATCACGAAGTCAGGAGATCGAGACACAAGGCCAGGAAATCGAGACCATCCTGGCTAACACAGTGAAACCCAGTCTCTACTAAAAAATACAAAAAATTAGCCAGGTGTGGTGGCGGGCGCCTGTAGTCCCAGCTACTCGGTAGGCTGAGGCAGGAGAATGGCATGAACTCAGGAGGCGGAGCTTGCAGTGAGCCAAGATCACGCCACTGCACTCCAGTCTGGGCAACAGAGCGATACCGTCTCAAAAAAAAAAAAAATACAACATACATGTTCTGTGCTTAAGTTACCTTCCCATTTATAATTTAAAACAAAAACAGCAATTACAGAATGGCATTACCAAGCAAGATTTCCCCCTCTTTCACACATGAAGGCTCTTCATCAGAGTAATTATTCAAGGCATCATGGTAATAAGGAATTAAGCCAAACTGGAAACCAGGTCTAACTTTTAATTCTTTCCACTGGATCATGATGTTGAAAGGAAATATGTCCCCACCCTTTCTGCAAGGATGAGAGATAAAGCTACAAAGTAAAATTTCTCAGAGAAAGCATCTCTGTACACAGAGTGAGCATCAGCGGGTCCATGTGGTGTGGTGGACACTTGATCAAAGAGTCAAGACGGCCTACTTCAGGTCCTGGCTTATGACAACCCACAACTGAAAACTAATCTCTTGATTTTTCTGGGCAATCTCCTCAGAGAGAAAGAAGGAGAGAGGGAAGGAGGGACAGGCTATGCATGAACAGTCATCCAAACCCCTATCATTAATTCTTATCCACCAGACCTCACTGTCTTGAAGAATAAAGCCATTACCTAAGAAGCAGCATAACTTAGTGGTAAGAACCACTAGGCTTAAGGATCAGAATCCCTGGTCTCAAACAGCCAAACCACCACATGCTACCTCTACAACCTCTGGCAAGTTAGGTAACCACTGCAAACCTGTTTCCCTATCAGTGAAACGGTAACTATTCCCTATCAATTGTTGGGAGGATTCTGAAATGATCTACATAAAGCATTGAGCACAGTGCTTGGTATATCCTTTCTTAAATAAATTTTCATCTTTCTGTCATTCATTTTCATAAATAGCACATGGTAGGTCTCCCATTTCTTTTTCCTGTTAAATTCCTCACATGCCCCCAGAGACTGAGAGGGATGGAAAAACTACTGTGCCAGACGACAGGCAGCCAGCGTTTTCAGGCTTTCAGTCTGAGGCTCCTGTCTGTCTCTCCCTTTCCAGCTCTCTTCCCCTCTCCCTTTTTCCATCTTCTCCCCTTCATCTCCATCTCTCTGTCTCTCCACCACAACAGCAGTCTCCCAAACCCCAGAGAACACCAGCATCTCCAACCACCCACACAGCTTCCTGCCCACACAAATCACAGACAACAAACCACACAGTTTCTCACTCTGGCACCTCCCCTGGCAACCTATGGACATGCCTCCACAATGTAGCCCGCCCTGCTCTCACAATGGGTCATATAGGGCCATTCTGAGTCACACTGTCACACTCACTGTCGGGTGACACACAGTGCTAAGTCACACAATCTCCGTCAGTCTCACATAATCACACACACTGTCATGCACAATCTCACTGTCACATACAATCTTAGTCCAACAACACAAACTCTGTTCACATAGTTTCACATACAGTGACATACACTCAACACTGTCACACAAATTCTCACTGTCGCAGTTTCACGTGGTCCCACATCAACAGCCACACACCATACACAACCACACATGGCCTCACACACGGTGACATGGCCTCACATACTGTCACAGTCTCACATGATCCTACACACACGGTCAAACTGTTCACAAAGTCACACACATTGTCACACAGTCTTACATTATCTCGCACACACAGGTCACACACACAGTGACATGGTCTTACACACTGTTCACACACGGTCTACACATAGTGACAGTTTAACACTGTCACACACTCCCAGTCAGTCTCACACATGGTGATGTGGTCTTAAACACATCCCACACGGTCCCATATACTGTCAAAGGCTCCCGCACACACAGGGGCAACGGTCTCATACTGTCACACACATTCTCACACCCAGTCTCACACTGTCACACACAATCCCACATTTGTCCCACATGGTCTCACACTGACGCACATATTCACACACGGTCTCACACACATTCTCACACTGTCACACACGGTCTCACACACATTCTCACACTGTCACACATGGTCTCACACACGGTTCCACACTGTCAAACACATTGTCACACACGGTTCCTTAATGTCACAACATTCTCACACACTGTCACACACGGTCCCACACACGGCGGCATGGCCGCTCTCGGCGTCAGCTCCATCCCGCGCTACTCACCGCCTCCTCCCTCCGGTGGGTACTTCCTTCGCGCGGTCCTTGGAGGCCGGGGCTGGGCCAGGGCCCGGGCCAGGGCTCGATCCTGGCCGCCGGCCGCGCTCACAAAGGCGCCGCAGCGCTAGGGCAGGCCGCAGGGGCCGCTGGGAAATGAAGTCCAGGACCGGCGCGGCGCAGAGGATGCTGGGATGGTGCCCGAGGGTCCCGGGAGGCCGCAGGTCTCGCCGCTCAGTTGCTGGTAGTTTCTGCTGCGCCGCCTTCCCTAGTAAGCCCACCTCCGCTGGCCTTAAGAACCCCACTCGGACCAGCTGAACCCTTTCAGGCCGTTCGACCGCCCGTTCACCCACCCGTTCCACCTGAGGCCTGGGAGGACCCGCTCTGACTGCGCAGGCGCAGCTGGCTCGGGTCCCCCAAAGGCTGCCAGGCCGGGGCGCTAGCGCGGTGACGCGCACGCGCAGTAGCCGCGTCCGCGCTCAAGCGCTCGGTGTGAGGCTGTGAGCCCAGCGCTGAGAAAAGGGAGCCTGGAGGACCAGTGTGTGGCCAGAGCCAGCTGGAGAGGGGCCCGGTAGGACGTACGGGTGATTAAGCGGTCTGGCAGCCCGGGCTTTCTCTTTCCTTTCCCTTTCTGTTTCTTCTCTCTCCGCCTTACCCTGTTTTTCATTCACCATTTATTGAGCGCCTACTGTGTGGGGCACTGTCGTAGGCCCTGGGCACACGGCAGTGAACAATCAGACAAAATCCCCACTTCATGAAGCAGCGTTCTAATGCGGGAAGAATTCAATAGGAAAAAATTAATAATAAAGGACACTGATGCACACTGGGAAGTAATGCGTGTTATGAAGAAAAGCGAAGCAGAGTGTTAAGACCATTCTTTCAGTTCTTCCTTCAGTTATGCCCTCTGAATCAGTGGAAAAAACAAAAGGTGCATTTTTTTTCCTATTATCTCGACAACTAATCATAACAAGACTTCTCTGACCAAATATGGGGGAGTTTCCCACACATACCAAGCAAGCAGTGAGTTCAATGAGTTCTGCAGTGAACACCAGCTGGGTGTCCTCCAGTTCAATTCCGACGCTGCTTGGCGATAGGTCAGACACCATTCGCTGAGGGCTCAGTCCCCAAGCCTGCCTCCCACTTCCCACTAGTCACAAGTCCAGTCTCTGGAACATCTGACCCCACCAACTTCAAATTGGGATTTTCACCACCACCTCTTTGCAATTCAGTATTTTGCTAGAGTGGCTCACAGAACTCAGGAAACACTTATGTTTACTGGTTTATCATAAAGGATATTACAAAGGATATAGATGAAGAGATGCATAGGGCAAGGTACAGAAGAAAGGGTGCTGCACCCAGGAACCTCCACATGTTCAGCTATGTGGAAGCTCTCCGAACCCTGTCTTTTGGGAGTTTTATGGCTTCATTACATAGACATGGTTAATTAAAATCCCCTCCCCTCCTTGGGGTTGTGGGTGGGGTTGAATATCCCAACCTTCTAGTCATGCCTTGGTCTTTCCATAACCAGTTCCCATCCTGAAACTATATAGGGGATGCCAGCTATCAGTCAACTCATTAGCATACAAAGAGTTTTTACTCTTACTTTGTAGTTTCTAAGGATTTTAGGAGTTCTATGCTAGGAAGATCAAATATATATTTCACAATATCATACTCTCTTATTCTTCAATGTTTTTGAAAATATTTTATAAACTCCTATCTCTAGTACTATCTATCTCCCAATCCTGTACCATCCCTTCCAAAATCCTGTTATGCCCTTCAATTGTTTCATTTAATTGTCTGACCAAAGTTGCCAGTGACAAAGAGCATCATAGAAGCTGGGAATTTTATTTGAGAAAATAAAAAAAATGCAACTATGATAGCAGCAAATACTAACTGAAACTTCTTTTTTTTTTTTGAGAGGGAGTCTTGCTCTGTTGCCGGCTGGAGTGCAGTGTTGCTATCTCAGCTCAATGCAACCTCCGCCTCCCGGGTTCAAGCGATTCCCGTCTCAGTCTCCCAAGTAGCTGGGATTACAGGCACACGCTACCATGCCTGGCTAATTTTTTTTTTTTTTTAATCTTTAGTAGAGACAGGGTTTTACGATGTTGGCCAGGCTGGTCTCGATCTCCTGACCTCGTGATCCCCCACCTTGGCCTCCCAAAGTGCTGGGATTACAGGCATAAGCCACCATGCCCAGCCAGGGTCCTGAGATTTATTTTCCTTTCACATCTATCCGATTGAAAACTATACAACTTTTTAAAATAATAATCACATGGCAATGAAGCAACATGTAAAAATACTTCTTATGTTAAGGTTTCTTAAAGGAGGAACAAAACTGATGAAATTGCATTATGACTGCAACATTGGAAAACTGTTCCTATGAATAAAAAGTAAAAGGAACACAATCCACAAAAATTGTAGTTGGGTTGTGTTTGAGTGTTGAAATTGTTAGAAATAAATTTTCGGGCTGAGTGCGGTGGCTCATGCCTGTAATCCCAGCACTTCGGGAGGCCGAGGCAGGCAGATCATGAGGTCAGGAGATTGAGACCATCCTGGCTAACACAGTGAAACCCCGTCTCTACTAAAAATACAAAAAATTAGCCAGGCGTGGTGGCAGGTGCCTGTAGTCCCAGCTATTAGGGAGGCTGAGGCAGGAGAATGGCATGAACCCAGGAGGCAGAGCTTGCAGTGAGCTGAGATTGCGCCACTACACTCCAGCCTGGGCGACAGAGCAAGACTCCGTCTCAAAAAAAAAAAAAAAAAAAAAAAATTTGCTGCCGCAAAAGAAGTAGCACGCTAACATAAATTTTCTCAGCAAGGCAATTTTACTTCTATAGAAGGGTGCATCTTGCGCATGGAGCAATGGTGAGAGTACACCTGAACAAGGGAGGGGAAGGGGTTCTTATCCCTGATGTAGGTAGCCCTTACTGCTCCGTCATTCCCCTATTGGCTAGGGTTGGACCACACAGTCTAAGCTAATTCTGATGGGCTATTTTAAAGATAGCAGTGGTAAGAGCCAGAGTGGTGGGGTGAGCAGTTTTGGCAGGAAAGACTGTTATGGAACAGGTGACTAAAGGTGACTTAGGTTAGAGCGGGTGACCAGGGGTGACTCACGATGGAGCAGGTGACCAGGGGAGCAGATGTGAACTACTGATCAGAACTGGCAGGGAAGTTGTTTACTGAAATGAGGGGCAAGGAGCTGAAGAGAATGAGGAAGTTAAACTTTAAAATGGAGAACAAAGAACTGAACATACTGACATACTGACTCTTTGAAGAGAAACTTAGAACTCACTGTCGAACAAAATTATGATTGATATCTTCCCCTCGCTTTTTCAAACCAGACAGACAAGACTTGTTTAAAATAAGGCATCAGTAAACTTCCAGGTTTTGGCAGTCTTTTCGACATTTCACAGATGCGTGAAGAGAGTAGGCATCTTTACGAAACCACCTTTGCAAAGACTGTATCAGTGAGAAAAATTATTACAGTAAACTGAGCTAACCCCTTTCCCTTAATTATTCCTGGGCTATAGGGCTGAGCTAACTTTGGAACACACTTACATTATAGTCTAAATAACGGGCGAATGGGAGCCATCCATCTGAGAGGAGGATGGGTCCTGCTAAGGTGGTGCCATTATTCAACTGTCAGCCATTATTCCAAAGGTTTTAAGATACACAACTTCCCCAATTACTACTGCAAATAACATCACCACTGTAGAACCTCAGATTGGCCTTTTGAGGTATCTTTTCGGGTTTTTTCATGTCTGACACCCATGGCTCCACCTGGACCTGATGGTTCCACTTGGACTAACCAACCCAGCTCCCGTGGCACCACCCAGCAGCAATTCAGCCCACACAAGGAGAGCTCTGACCCCCTATGATTTCATCTCCAGCCCAACGAATCAGCAGCAAGCACCTGTTACCTGGCCACTCTCACCCCTTCCCCCAAACTGACTTTGAAAATCCTCTAATATAAGAGCTTTGGATGAGATGATTTGAGTACGAACTCCATTTCCCATGTGGCGTGGCCAGACTCATGTCTGTTAACCTCTTTCTCTACTACAATGCCATGGTCTTTCTTTATGCAGTTGGCAGGAAGAACCCCTTGGGCAGTGGTTACATTTAGCCAAGGAGGTAAATGATAACATTTTTTATTTTTAGCCATTATCTCTTAAGCTTCTCCTTGTGGCAGAACCTTCTACAAAGCTTGGTAAGAGTCACTAAGTAAACTTTGATTTGCTTAAAAACCACATATATTCTTTGTCTCAGGTGAGCAGCAATTACTTGGGCTGGTGGTGCAGAGGTAAAAGAACTTACCAAGATAGTTGTGGGCAAAGAAAGGCAGATTTATTTATTTATTTATTTATTTATTTATTTATTTATTTGAGACGGAGTCTCGCTCTGTTGCCCGGGCTGGGGTGCAGTGGCCGGATCTCAGCTCATTGCAAGCTCCGCCTCCCGGGTTCACGCCATTCTCCTGCCTCAGCCTCCCGAGTAGCTGGGACTACAGGCGCCCGCCACCTCGCCCGGCTAATTTTTTATATTTTTTAGTAGAGACGGGGTTTCACCGTGTTAGCCAGGATGGTCTCGATCTTCTGACCTCGTGATCCGCCCGTCTCGGCCTTCCAAAGTGCTGGGATTACAGGCATGAGCCCCCGCGCCTGGCGAAAGGCAGATTTATTAAAGACAGTATGAAAGTGTTATCAGGGAGCAACAGGCAGAATCAGCGGAAGAGGAGCTGACTGCAAGGAAACAAAGGCTTGCTGGAGATTTTATAGGATGGTTCCTGGGCTGATGGATAACGCCAAGGCAGCAGGGAGCTAACCTGCATTCTCTGTCACCCAAGGTGTTTGATGATGAATGTTTGCGTGCGTTTGATGACAAGCAGGAAGTTTGTGAGTTATGTTCATGATTTGTTCAGGAGGGCTGTATGTCCTGGGCCATAAAGAAAAGCAAGCCTATAGCTTATCTGCTTCCTTTTTCTGTTTATATATCCTGGACCATGAAGAAAATGCAGATCTATAGCTTATTTGCTTTATCTCTTTGCTTTCCACTGGTCCCACCAGCCTGACTCCTTTTCCCTAAGTAGGAATCCACATTCTTCCTAATGGGTAATCAGCAGACATATGTCTACCTAGCACACCTAAGTTTAACATAATTATCTAAATGCAAAATCTTGAGGAATAAAGACAAAAAAACCCTCTACCAGGCACAGTGGCTCATGCCTGTAATCCCAAGTGACATAGGAGTTAAAAAGAAATTAGTTAGGCAGATACTGAGAGTAAGGAAATCCTCGGTACGGTTTTCCTTTTAATGAAAAGCAGCCCCTGAGTCATTTCTAACAAAGAGCAGCCTGAAAAATCACGCCGCAGACATAGATAAGCAAGCTGGAAGCTTGCACGGATGAATGCTGGCAGCTGTGCCAATAGGAAAAAGGTACCTGGGGGCCAGGCATGTCCAACATGGCAGCTGCATCTTCCCTTTTGTCAATCAAAAGGGAAGTGTACAGTAAGGAACAGACAGCATGGCCCTGGCCAGGTAGGGACTCCATCTGCATAATAAAAGGTTAGGGTGGGACAACCAGCTTCTGATTGGCACACCTGGTCCAACCAATCTTTGGGGCTTATGTAAATCAGACACCACCTCCTGAAGCCAGTCTACAAAACCCCATGCCCCATGGAAGTCCTACCTGGGAGCCCTTCTCCCTCTGCAGAAGCTAGAGCTGTTCTCTTTTCTCTTTTGCCTATTAAACCTCTGCTCTTAAACTCACTTCTTGTGTGTCCGCGTCCTCGATTCCCTTGGCGTGAGACAACGAACCTCAGGTATTTACCCTAGACAACGACGCAGCAGCATCAGCATTTTGGGAGGCTGAGGCAAGATGATCACTTGAGCTCAGGAATTGAAGATCAGCCTGGGCAATACAGTGAGACCCCAATCTCTTTAAAAAAAAAAAAAAAAGAAAGAAAAGAAAAATTAGCTGGTGTAGTGGCACGCACCTGTGTTCTCAGCTACTTGGGAGGCTGAGGTAGGAGGATTGCTTAAGCCCAGGAGGTTGAGGCTGCAGTAAGCCGTATTTGTGCCACTGTGGCAAGCCAGATCTCACAAAAGCTGAACAGGCAGGCCTCCATAACAACTGTTCCAGCATTGACTAAATGGTTAGGTTAAATATTAAAGGCTGAGAGAGCCAGTGCCCTAACACAAAGGCTGCTGATTTGAAGCATGACAAGATAATGAAGGAATGGTCACACTCCTCATCCCAGGATCCATTTAGGATTAAACAAGTTTGAGGGTCTAAAGGCACTCCCCAGACCTCCATAACTTAGTAGGAGACAAGGTAAGGGTAATCACCTTTGGCACTTGGACCGAACTAGAGTAAGTAAAATTACTGAGGCTCTGGAGGAAGGTTCCCAAGACTCAGACCTTAGTTATAGATGAGAAGAAATTAATCACTTATATCTTTAGATGAATGCACACTTACATGTAGACATATAGCTTAGAAGGTGGATAAGCACTGGAAAACTTTGTGATTTTGAGTTGTCTGGCAATATTTTTCTGGCCCTCTGCCTGTACCCGGTTACAGAAATAAAACTCTCTTCTTTTACATCAACATCTTGTTATTGGGCTGCGAGAAAAAGCAGCCTGGCCCTCGGTTCAGTCCAGGAACACCACTGCATACCAGCTTGGGTGACAGAGTGAGACCTTGTCTCTCAAAAAAAGTCCTCAGAGGCCGGGCACGGTGGCTCACGCCTATAATCCCAGCACTTTGGGAGGCTGAGGCAGGCGGATCACGAGGTCAGGAGATCGAGACCATCCTGGCCAAGATGGTGAAACCCCATCTCTACTAAAAATACAAAAAATTAGCCAGACGTGGTGGCGAACACCTGTAGTCCCAGCTACTTGGGAGACTGAGGCAGGAGAATGGCGTGAACCCAGGAGGCAGAGCTTGCAGTGAGCCGACTTCGCGCCACTGCACTCTGGCCTGGGTGACAAAGCGAGACTCCGTCTCAAAAAAAAAAAAAAAAAAGGCCGGGCGCGGTGGCTCAACCCTGTAATCCCAGCACTTTGGGAGGCCGAGACGGGCGGATCACGAGGTCAGGAGATCGAGACCATCCTGGCGAACATGGTGAAACCCCGTCTCTACTAAAAAATACAAAAAACTAGCCGGGCGAGGTGGCGGGCGCTTGTAGTCCCAGCTACTCGGGAGGCTGAGGCAGGAGAATGGCGTGAACCCGGGAGGCGGAGCTTGCAGTGAGCTGAGATCCGGCCACTGCACTCCAGCCCGGGCGACAGAGCGAGACTTCGTCTCAAAAAAAAAAAAAAAAAAAAAGTCCCCAGAGAGAGAAGGCCACACGTATTTTATCCTCAATTGTCACAAGGAAGATGCAATACATGTATTTTTCTCCTGGATTAGTACTGGAGAAAAGCCTTTTATCCTTTTTCTTTCTTGGATATGGATGTCCAGTTGCTGCAGCACTGTTTGTTGAAAAGGTTATACTTCCTCCATGGAAATTTATTATTATAGTGCACAGATTTTAGGTCAGAAAAATTGGGGGAGGTGCCCAAGGTCATTCAGAGAGTAAGTAGCTAAGATTGGGTTAGAGCCCACTTTGTTGTTGTGTGATTCCTTGCTTGGATTACTATGCACAACAGAATATGGCCCACCTCTCCATAGTTGATCACATTTGAGTGATAATGGGTGATCGTGAAATAGAAGGAATCTGGCAGAAGGATGGATATGGCTGGGTGGGGCGGGGTGGTGGGTAACAGGAGAGGGAGCTGCTGGAGTAACTCTGCATGTGCTTTGGCACAGGAATGTGTACTGGGAAGTGGCTGACTAAAGACCTATGGATTCCATGGAATGGAGAGGCCAGCTCAGAGCATTCTCATACTCTTAAAAGGAAGAAACTGGAAGCCACCTTCTAAGTGGACCCTGAATGATGGCTGCCTCCTGGTATGTATACTCTTGTGTAGCCTCCACCTACTTAGACTCACAGCTGATTTTGTGACCAAGAGTATAATGGTGTATGACTTCAGAGGCTTGGTTCAGAGTCAGAAGTGGCCATTTCATCATCATCTAAATTTCTCTCTGGCAGATTAATAAATGTGAGAAAGTAAAAATGGTATAGAAGAAAGCCTGAGAGATGGCTGGCTTTGTACCTGTTTGGTCCTTTTCCTTCCTTTCCTCCATAAGCAAATACTGACGCATGTACATATAGACACACCCACACAGTGGGATGTTAAAGGGAAACTAGAGCCACTCGCCCCTTCCCAAGATCAGAGAACCTAGGAAAGATGATGACTTTTTGCATCTGCCCTCTGCTCTTGAACTCACAACACTGTCCTGAACCACAAATAAGGTCAAGTAGGATAAATCTACAACTGTCTCCTCGATTCTCTGCTCACAAGCGTGAAATTCAACCATCTTTGCAGAAGTTGTCTCTTAACCAACCTCTGAGCTTTGCTTCTATTATTACATCATTTTATTTGACCCGCAGGACAAAACTGCAAGCCCAGCATTACATTCTTCCTTTTATGGACAAAATGAAGAAACTAATAAATGGCTGAAATGGCATTTGAATCCACACCTGTCTAACTCTAAAAGTGTGCTTTCTACCACATCACTGTGCCTGTGAGGAAAATACACCCTCTACCCTCTCCTGAAGAATGTGTAAAGAGGCAATATAGTGTGTTTTGGAAAATGCATCTTTGCAGAAAGAAAGCATTAGTTTCAGTCACATCATCATCCTTATCCAGCAGCAGTAGCATTATTTTACACATATTAGCTCAGTTACTCCTCCCAAACAACTCGATGTGTTAGATGCTATAATCATCCTCACTTTCAAATGTGGAGACCGAGGCACATCTCTAAGACTAGAGTTCGGCCGGGCCTGGTGGCTCAAGCCTGTAATCCCAGCACTTTGGGAGGCCGAGACGGGCGGATCACGAGGTCAGGAGATCGAGACCATCCTGGGTAACACGGTGAAACCCCGTCTCTACTAAAAAATACAAAAAAAAAGAACTAGCCGGGCGTGGTGGCGGTGCCTGTAGTCCCAGCTACTCGGGAGTAGTCCCAGTTACTCGGGAGGCTGAGGCAGGAGAATGGCTAAACCCGGGAGGCGGAGCTTGCAGTGAGCTGAGATCAGGCCACTGCACTCTAGCCTGGGTGACAGAGCGAGACTCTGTCTCAAAAAAAAAAAAAAAAAAAAAAAAGACTAGAGTTCAGGCATTCTGGCTCCAGTCTTAGAGATGGTAGAGATGGTTAAGGGTTCACACTCTTACCCACTTATTACACCATAGAGTTCACCAGGTCTGAGGGAAACAGGATCAAATCAAAAGACAGTAACTCAGGACTCCGGGCCTGACTCAAAGACGAACTGTTCCATCTCGGACAGGGAGGGCTTCCTCATTCTGAGACCCAGAATAACAGGTCCTGACCGGCATCTGGCACTTGGACTCCCCATCATATTGGACCACACTGGCTCGGGATGTGTAAAGTCCTGGGCTTCTCACACGTGATGGCACCAAAGCCGCCTAAAAACGAGAGATAATTAACACCTACCTGCGGCGGTCTGGTATTTGACCAAGAGATGCCGCCCCATAAAACTCCTTTACATCTTTATAACGTTTTTATTTTGCGTTCTCCTTCATAACCCACATTTAATTCGCCATATGTGTAATGTTTAAAAATAGTTACCAGATAAACTTACGCTTCCTAATTTTTAAGGCTCCTTCCAAACCTTCTGGTAAAACTGCTGTTCCACGGAAATGGGAACTTAACGGATGAGGGAATCTTCCACAGCCGCACACAATTGTGTATCCACCGCTAAACGGTACCAGTCACACATTCAGCGACCCATGCGGAGTCAGAAGCGACCACTACACACCGTCACAACAATCACGCACACACAGTGACAGCCCCTTGCCCACTCGGTCACTCGCGCACAATCTCTCGCTAGAGAATCACACGTAGATAGCACAGCACCAAGAACCCCCATGAAGAGACCCAGGGACTCGAACACAAAACTCTCTTCCGCGCGCAGGGCAGGCACGCCTGCGCGCGGCTCACCTCGAAACATCGCGAGATCCGGCTTCAAGGCCGGGCTGCTGCCTTCACGCCTAGAGACTATGTTTCCCAGAAGTCACTGCGGCGCCGGCCCTATCATGGCGCAGCATCGGTGTGCTTTGTGCGTCTGCGCCATCTTCCGGCTGCGCACGGCGAATCCGCCGGTACCGTGGTGGAAGCGCGCCCTGGGCTGCTGGGGGCGCGGCCGCGGTGGCACTTGGACCCGAGGAGGCGGCAGGTGAGGGGCTCCGGAGCTTTCCAGGTGCTCTGGGGTCCAACAGGAGCTGGTGCCGCGGCCAGGCGGGTCTCAGGCCTGAGAAGAACCGAGACTTCTCGCCCCATCGTCGCTCTGTGGCTTTACCGGCGTGAGACTACATTTCCCGCCGGCCCTCGCGGCGCGCGCCGGCTGGCGCCCCCTTTCTGCGTCCAGCCTCATAGGCCAGGTGCATGGACCCCTTAGGTGGGTGCGCAGGGGTCTCCGACCCCCTGAAATTGCAGATGTTTTGCATTCACTGTTATGCGTGCTTTTTTTTTTTTTTTTTTTTGTAAATCTGAGAGGAAATCTTGTTTCATGAGGTTCTCAGAGAGTTGCAAGACCCCAGAAGACTTAGAACCGCTAGTTTAGAAAAACTTATACTTGGGAACATTTTATATGACCTTGTTCAAATTCGGTGTCCAGCAATGGAGAAACACTTGAGTAAATCACAGGCCATCATGTGTAAATAGGATATGGTGCAGTTAATACAAATAATGCTTATAAAAGTGGTCATAATAAAGAAAAGCTGCCTATTACATCATATTAAGCAACATTCTTAATTATTTCACTTACAAGTTACTTACAACCAAATGTTTGTAATGCAGTAGGCACTTTATATACTTACTCCTTTACAAAATACTTCTTATTTAACAATGAGCTCAAGAACTGGTTAAATGACAACACTGCAAATACTTGGGTGTTTTTCCTTCCAGTTTTTTTGTTTTGTTTTGTTTTTAGCCTGTGTGTTAGTGAGTTTGACTTCTTTTTGCTGAATGTTCTCAGAGGATCCAGTAGTTAGTATCTGTGCTTGTCAGTTTTTGATAGTCATTTTTAGATAGTCACTTGGCATGGCATTGTATGGCTGTGCCAAAAATGATTCAACCACTTGCCTACTTGTGGACTTGCCTACTTATGTACTAATTTTCAGTTCTATTATTTAGCAAATATTATTGGGCCTGCAGCTTTGTGCACTGCTGTGTCTCTGTGGAAGGACACGTTTATGTGCTGATAATGGAGCACTGGGTGTACTGCTTGTGATTTGGCTCTTACTGTTCCTTGCAAGTCTGTCCCATTTGTTGATGCAAGGCATGCTCCATGAAGTGGGAGTTTGGGCTGTAAAGGTTTTTGTAAATTCGGCAGTTGGGAAAAGAGCCAGGTAGACTTTCGAAGGTGTTAACGTTTGCTGCAGGAAAGAGTTAAATGGCCTAGTCCTGGAAAGGCTTTATTCTAGGCTGGGGCTATGCAAATTATGCAGACCTTCTGTGCTTCCTGGCTTGAGGGAAGCCTTCCTTGTCTTTGAGGTAACATGTGGGTCTCAGTCACTAGAACAGCCCACAGCATCCCCGTCTCAGTCTTGCATCTGCAACAAAACAGAACCACTGGATGTTTAGGGGAAATGGGAGGGAACGGACCACTGGTTTCCCTTTGCCTTGCAGCAGCTAAAGCTGGTTTCCTGGGGTTGGGTGAGATCCCTTTGTCCCCTCCCCCCCCATTTTCTTGGTGGGCAGAGGGGCAAGCAGGTGGGAACTTGTAACTTTGGCATTCTAGGAGCTATGAGGCAAGCCTAGCCTCTCATATTTGCTCTTTCCTCCCCCAGCTCTGCCATCGCAGGACTCTGCCCTTCCCCAAGAGAGGAACCAGGAGGAGGACCTATCAGCCCTTGAAATTCTAAAAGTCATGTCCCTTGTGAGTTTTAACATCCCACAAATATTTGCTTTCCTTATCTTGAAACTTTCCACCTGGGTTCCATCCAGGAATTTGGTTCTCAGACTTTCCCATTTTAGGAATAAAAGGACCAGGCAGGAGTCCCCTCTCCCGTTGTCCTGTCCTCTCCTCTCTGACAAATGCCCACAGATGTATTCTCTGTAGCATTCTGCATCTCCTGATGGTTTTCATCTGCTAGGAGGAGAAACTCATTTCCCTGTATGAAAGAGAGCATCCTTTGTAAGAACTGAAGTTTGAAGAGATGGAAATGAACGGTTAGGAGCAATCGCATATGGAGGTGGTGTTGGTTGGTTTCAATTTCAGCACGTGGTACAGTGTCCTGCTTTGGGGGTGATTAATGATTGGATATGTAATTGAGGTTTGGCTGGGAATCCATCAAGATTCGATGCCAGAATTAGAGTCTAGTTTGACGTTGAACAGAGCATTTGAATCTGGGACATCCTCCATTAGTTTCTTTAGCTTAAGAGCAAGAAAAGTACAGAGCTGAGGATGGTGAGTGATACAGAAAGTGAGATGATCAGTCAGCTAGGTGAGTGAGTGGTCAGGGCTTGGAAAAACCTTAGAGATCTGATCCAACCTCGGGATCCAAAATAAGAGGATGTTTGGGTCATTCATTTCACTTGATAGAAAACTGTACACTCAATAAAAGTGATCTCCATGGTTTTTCCCATGAAGAAAAATGCTTGTGTTATGTTCCAACATAATGATGAACTTTCATCTCCAAGAAATTCTTGACTTGTATGAAAATCCTGTATCTAAGATAGACGACATGTTTCCATAATTTAAAAAAAAATAATAAAATATTTGGGGAAAATCCATCAGAAATATTTTTAATTGTTATTGTTATTCCAAAAGATAGAAATGATAGGTCTCACTTTGAGAATTTATTGTATGCCAAGTACAGAGTGGGCAGTGTGCTTTATTACACTGTTTCTTACAGTAAGGAAAACTCCGTTTAGCTTGATGTTAATTTTCATCCCAGACCTGTACACAGAGCTTTGATTTGCAGTGTACAGTAAAAGGATTTGTAAAAGGAGTGTTTGAGAACATTCGAACAATCTGTTTTACTCATACCCATTACTTCTGTCACTTTTCACATTCAGTCCCACCTTTCTTGTTCAACAAAACAACCCCCCTCCTGCAAAGACCTGCCCCACCTCCTTTCATCCCACTGTGAACCATTGGAATACATGTATATCATACATGCCTGCCATTCCAGGGGTCAGAATTGTTCAGGGATGTGGCCATAGTCTTCTCCCAAGAAGAATGGCAGTGTCTGGCACCTGCTCAGAGGGACTTGTACAGAGACGTGATGTTGGAGACCTACAGCAACCTGGTCTCACTGGGTAAGGTGATCTCGTCTGTTTAGTTTGGAGGTTATCCTTGGGCATGTTCCTTCCTGGCCAGTTTTTGGGTGCTTTTCAGTCTTATGACTGGTCATTTTTGAGGGGTTAAAGGGCAGCGCTGTCAGCTGAAGCTGCATCTTCCCCTGCCCTCAGGCAGTTGTCCCATCTTCCTCTGGTACTTCCTGCAACTGCCTCTCCTGCTTGATGACCAGGTCCTGGATCTGAATTCTGGGGCCCTCACACCATAACCAGGTGGCATGTTTCTTCTCATCTCCAGGTCTTGCCATTTCCAAACCTGATGTGATCTCCTTCCTAGAGCAAGGCAAAGAGCCCTGGATGGTGGAGAGGGTGGTGTCTGGAGGCCTGTGCCCAGGTGAGTGAGGTATCAATGGGAAGGGAGTAGCCACTGCAGGTATCAGGTCAGCTGGAAGTAGCCCTTTGTCTTAGAAAATCTTCCCTGCAGGTTGCTACATTCAAAGCTTATGTCTTAAGTGTTGTCATCCTCTCCTCCCAACCTCCATTCTCTGAAAGGCCCCAGTGTGTGTTGTCCCACTCCATGTGTTCATGTGTTCTCATCATGTAGCTGCCACTTAGAAGTGAAAACATGCAGTTTTTGGTTTTCTGCTCCTGTGTTAGTTTGCTTAGGATAATGGCTTCCAGGTCCATCCATGTCCCTGCATAGGAAATGATCTTGTCCTTTGACCATTTTTCTAAAGGAATGTGTATTGGTTTGTTTGAATTTTGGAGAGTCAGTTAACAAGTACTTATAAGCTTTTATTATGCACCATGGAATATGCCACAGTATACATTGATGAGGCAGGCAGACATTATCCTTGCTTTCAAGGAACTTACACTGCAGTGGGAAAATAGACATGAAATCATACAGACACATGGACATGAGCTAATATGTGAAAGAAAAAGAACAGGTTGAGTCAGGGTGCATGGTAGGGCCAATGGCCTCTTCAAGGATGAGGCGTTTCAGTTGAGACATGGAAGGTGTGATGTAGCTGGGGAATACCAATTGCAGCCAGTGAGTGTGAAGGACCTGAGCAGGGAGCCCTTGGTACCTCTGAGATAATGGCCTCTGTGGCTGAGGTCAGTGAACAAAGGAAGGAACACAAAGAAATACCCTAAGGACCAGGCATGGTGGCTCATGCTTATAATCCCAGTACTTTGGGAGGCTGAGGTGGGCAAATCATTTGACTAGCCTGGCCAACATGGTGAAACCTCGTCCCTACTAAAATCACAAAAATTAGCCGGGTGTGGTGGCACATGCCTGTAATCCCAGCTACTTGGGAGGCTGAAGCATTGCTTGAACACGGGAAGTGGAGATTGCGGTGAGCTGAGATCGAATCACTGCACTCCAGCTGGGGCAACAGAGAGAGACTCTGTCTCCAAAAGAAAAAAAAAAGATAAGCTAGGAAAGGCAACCACGTTAAGAAGTTTGGGCTCTGCACTGTGGGCAGAGGGAAAGCAGTGTAGAAATAGAGCCAAGCCATGATTTTGTGGTCCACCTTGAGAGGATATTAACTATTGCGCTTCTCACATAT